GGGGGGGGGGGGGGGGGTGTTGGCACGAGGGCTTGTTCTTTGGCAATGACTTAAGCCATGAAATCACGTCTACAGACATATGCTTATCATTTACGCGCTGAGCCACAGTCAGGTCAGCACACTGGTAGTCTATAAAATGCTAAACCGACTAGAGGCGACGTCTTTACAGCTAGTACACAGTATCTACACCACTGCTGGGCCACAACCGAGGCTTGAAATGGAGAGTTAAATTCACAAAACGCTATCAAAAGAGGCGTCGCAGTTTGATTGGTTGTGATCTAAATTCTGTAAACACTCTCGAGTGCCCTTAACGAACGTTGTTCTTTTGCTCTTGTTGGCTACATTCACATTACAGACTTAAAACACAAAACGCTGTCTGATCGGCGTGTCAGCTCAAACAATGGCGTGAAAGGCTGGATGACACATAAAATGACGCACAGATGAAAAGGGATTATTTTTATCGGTCCCCTTTTGGGATTTGCTACTTGGCTGATAGAGTCCGTTTGAACAGACTGTGGAGCGCCTCATCTTTTTCTATTTCTGAAATTTTGGGTGCGACATTAAAAACATGGGAAAGATTTCTCCCAGTGGAGGTTGGTTATCTCATTTCTGGGAACTCCTGCACCCACAAACACACAAAATTAACCACAGACGTGGATTTCTGCACACATATTGTACTAACGCACACACACACACACACACACACACATAATCTAACAATATGACCCATTAATCTCCACAGCAGACAACTGGAGACGCTGCTCTGACATCCTTTTGGCTGAGTGCTTCCTCCAAAAAGGCTCAGGCTTTTCCAAAGCTGGAAACTAATCAAACATAGAGCTGCTTCTGGCCTTAGGTTAACAAAAGCCCCTGTCAGGTCCTCTCGCTTCGCCACATGAGCCACAGAGAGCTTCACTGGCTTGGCACCAATGAGGGGATCAGGGGGAGGGAGGATCAGCGAACTCCTCTTTCTGCAAAAGATCATCTTGTCCGGCTTCACACAGGCATGCAGCCCCGGTGAGAATGTGGGATTTAATCCCAGGTGGATATCCTGAGCTCTGGAGTAGCCGGGCTCTCTCACCGCTGCTCCCTTCAAAGACCAGTCCTACGAACCAGCTAAATGCACGTGATGATAGGTGGGAGCGCGGTGAACTTGCCTCGTCATTAGACTGATGTCACGACATGACAGTACAACGAAAATGAGACTCGGGGGGGCTGGGATGACCCTTATTGGCAAGCCACCGTCAAGTCACAGAGCGAGAGCGGAAGACAGCAGCCAATGTGGGACACGGCGATGGTACTGACACTCACTGACAGATGCACCACGAGGACACTGTTGTAAAGGGACTATAGATGAACTGTGCAGCACTCAATCCACAATAAGACGGCGAGGAGGTTGAAGAGGAAGAGTGAAAGCACACTTTGGCCCCTCTGTGCTGCGCTGCTCATAAAGGCATCCTTTTCGAAGATGTGGTATCTCTTGCTGTTTGAGTGGAGCATTTTTACATCCTCGAAGGCGTAGTAGGCTGCCATGGTGAAGTTTATGTCTCCAGAAGAGAGGAGATCGAACACGCAGGACTGAAAGTACAGGTCCTCCACTGGGAGCCGCTCTTTGCACTTGGCCTTAGCAGACTGGTAGGTAAAGCCTTGTGCCCCGGCGCCGCTCCTGGCCCTGCCTGCGCTGTGGGCCTCTGCTGCGCGAGCCCGGAAGTTCCTGAAGTCGATGCGCTGGTTGGCGGGACAGCCGTGAAGACACAGGTACAAGTCCTGGTTATCGCCTTCCTCCACAGAGTTCACAACTTCCTCTGGCATCCGCACGGCAAACGTCAGGTAGCGGCCAACCTGCCGGACCACTATGGTTGTTCCAATGTACCTGGCCTGAATCTCCACGTGCTGCCCGGGAACCTTTTCCACCACGCGCAGAGTGTTCGCGCCGTGCCGATCCCCTCCGTTCTTCGAGCCGTCTGCGAATGCAGCTGGCAGCTCGTCTGTCTCTGCATGGTACATCTTCTGGTCCACACATTCCTGGAAATTCTTAAAGATGATTGTCAGCTGCAGGACAGAAAAAAAATAAGAGAAGAGAAATCTCGTTAACGTTCAACAGAAAAAAATCATATGTGTTTGCAGTCATGGCTTGCTCCGTTTAGCGCGTATACGTTCGCATTAAGAACAAGTTAGTGCAGTATGTGCCATCTACCCCACCACCCCACTTAAGTGTCACATTTCAGCACTGGCTCAACACGGGGGAGGCCAAGGTAAACGCCCTCAAAAAACATGAGTCTCGGCCATGTAAAATCAGGCCTCAGTATGCAGACACAAAGACGATCCATTCATGGCGCTGAAAAACCTGCCTGTGAACCCCAGAACTATGCTCCAGGGAGTGGCGTCAGGCCAGGACAGAGCCGTACACTCTGGTCAGGACTCTGCAAGCTTGGTTTCATCAGGACACCAATGAGCCATTGTCAGAGCAGTGATACCAGTACAGCCTAGGGTCTGTGATGTCTGCTCGCTGGGACAGGGGATGGGGGGAGTCTACAGAATACTCTATTAGCTTGACAATTCATCCGTGGCACCAGTTCTGTCTCAATTCCCCTTCCCCTCAGAGAACACTTCCCCACCTACATTACCTTCTGTTTTGGTCCTGGTTCATTTCTTTGGCTTTTAATGAAAACAAACAAAAAGAAAATGCCTCTATTATCCCTCCCTCAGAATGAAGATGGAAATAACCAGACAGTTTTATTTGCTCGAGCGAGAGCAATGTACCAAACTCAGAGCTCTGCTAATGCAGATCTTTTAGCAGAGGGGCCTTGTTTGCACAGGTGGCATTGGCTGCTGCCTTGTTTTCCCTTTGTCCAGAATCAAGATCTTAAAAAAGCTGTCTCATTCGCTTCCAAGAACAGCAATGTAAAAAATGTCATTACTTTAAAAGCTAAAAACCCACAAATGCTTAACAGAGTATCATTAAGAAGCCTTGATTGCAGAAAATTATACTTTCTACAAATGTGATTAAGGACAAAGTCCACTTATACCTCAGTCTAAATACTTCAGTTATGATACTCTGCAAAGTGAAGTTTGCAATCATTGCTGTCAAAACTTTGCCATATCTGGACAGACTAAGTGAATTTGCCAACTTGAAATACTCCTACTTTTTTGTTTTTGACCTCAAGTTCTACTGAAAGCCTTCCAAACTAATCAATGTACCACCAAACAAAAACACAACAATAAGGAATGCACTACTGATAAAGCATTGACAGAAAACCTCCTAACGTAGAGACAATATCTAGAGTTTTTAGTTTACTGTGCTCAGAGAGGACTACTCTCTAAGTAGGGCAAACATCAGGCCGAGCTGTCCACTGTGAAAAGTGAAAATGGAGCCTCATGTTAACATCTTACGCAGCACTGTTGTTATAATACTAACATATCATTTGTAAAGCTTATCAAGATCTTTGTGATTGAGCTGGGTTTGGCTTCTTTATCTGTAATTATGGAATGCATCCAAACACTAACCAGAGTCCACAGTTTGACAGAAAAGCAGACCGCGTGAAAGACTCACACATGCAGAAATATAAACAGAATGATGTTCTGATGATGCTCTGACATTTATGGACCCAATACTAACTACAGTCACCATCCACTAACATCAATGCAGCAACGAGTGATTATCCTAAATTATAGATCCATTTGTTGACAATTCTTTTTTTTCCCAAATCATGTTGCCTAGAAAATTTTACTTAAAATGTTTACAGTTTGTCTTCAAGTTGCTTTATTTGTCTGACCAACAGTCCACAACCCACTCAGATTCAATATAAACGGATACACAACAGGAAAACTGTCTGGAATCAGCAAATGTTTGGCGTGTTTGCTTCATAAATGACTTCAATAATTAAGCTGATTATCACAGTTGTTGTTGAATCATTTTGCATCGACTGTAGAGCTGAAACAATAGACTGACTAATTAGTCCACCAAGAAAAAATTATTTGTCAAGTTTTTTGATAAGTGATAATTGAAAAATGAAAGTCATATTTTAGCAGAAATGCCAAATTTCCTTGTTACAGCTTCTAAAATATGAGAATTTGCTGCATAGCTGGTTGAATATTTTGGGGCTCTGGGCTGCTGGTTGGCCAAAACAAATGTCCCTCTCACTATTTTCAGGGAGAAAAACAAACAAACTAATTGATCAATGGCGAAAACAACCATCAGATGAATTGCTAAACGAAAGCAATTGCTAGCTGCAGCCATACCTCACTGACTATTCGATTAACGTGCGTACAGGATGAACAGGAAGGATCCCCACCTTGCTTGTGGCAGTGGCCAGAGAACCCGGCACTACCGGAGTGTTGGTCACCTGGACGGACAGGTATTTGTTGTGGATGAGCGGCCATGCTCCCTCCACCTTACACGTCTGGAAGTCGTCGCCGAAGGTGCGAAGGTGTGGGTCTCCAAAGAAGCCGCAGTGGGTGTAGTTGGGTGGCGCTGTGTTGCGTGAAATGCTGCGCTCGTAGTGGCACACTTCGGGGCCATCGGAGCGTTCCTGACTGTCAGGGAGGAGTGGCGGGGTCGGAGGAGGAAGCGGGATGCGGGCGCGTGGCTGGGATGTCGGCCCCTCCTTGGAACAGTTGTGTTGGCTCATGAGATCCTCTATGCCATGCTGGGCGGAGTGGTACGCCAAATCCCCCCTACAGGTACGTGCCGTCCGGCGTACACAGCTGTTGTACGCCCGCAGCGCCGTGCAAAACTCCTCCTCCGGTCCAGAGTTCGAGGTGGAGGCCCAAAATTCGGAGTTACACTTCAGGATCTTGCACTGCAGACTCACTGCCAGGAAGGAAAAAAAGATATGGTGTTTGAGTAAAAGAAGCAAACCAGAGGCCACCACACATTTTATAAACATGATACTGACACAGATAACGCTATAAACAGACTTTATCTGCTAATGATGGTGGTTTACAAACACAGATAAACATAATACATCCAGCTCATCATGAATGTCAACTACTGTGTAATGCCCACACAGCCACTGCGGTTCTTTACTTGCATTCTACGCATCAAATTATAAACATAATGATGCAGCAATTATTATCTTTTGCCACATACTTGGCTTTGTCTGTTTTCTAGTTGGCATCTGGACAAAATGTCATAAACACTGCAATGCTAGAGATAATTAACAGACAGATAAAGTACCATTATATGTTGCTGCTGTGTTTATTTCAGCACCATGAAAAATGACAAATAACATCTATATCATGCAAATGTAGAAATAGTAAACAAAACCTCATAAGCAAAAGCAAAAAGCAGGTCTGTGAGCCTCCTACAGGTCATCCTGGATATACTATAACTTTACTGTTTATTGTAGAGAAGTGTACTTCCATTTCACACCTAGTGGCATTTGGTTTAGAAGGAAAAATGCCATTTGGGATCCTAATCTGCACCTTTGATGATAATAAACCCTGCTTGGCCACAGATTGTCTCCAGCTTTATTGCCACATCCGGACAATTCTTTACACAAATGTCCTTCAAACGTTTCTCTGGATGCCCTGTTGTGACACAGTGTTTGACTAGTATTACCTTCGACTACGAAAAGCATTTATTTGAATTGGCCGTGAGAAGTTTCACCCAGTGTCTCCAGGGAGGGGAAGCCATCTCAACACTTTGAAGTCACACTTAAAACAATATCCCTCCTTAAAGCTTCACCGCAGCTCTCTCCAACCCCCACATCACCTCTCCATTTACCACCCATTTGATAGATGGCAATAAACTAATCTTGATCTCAGCTATCAGTGCATTATCACCTTGTTTTTGGACAGTAAATGACTTAAGAGGGAAACTGATAAGAGTTTGGCAAACCTGCAAGGTGAGCTGAATGAGGTCTCCCCACTGCTCTTTTGTCAAATTACAAGGGATTAAGGGAATTGAATGCAAACATGTGGGTTTTTAAATACTTGCACTGCTGCAGTAGGGCTACATTTCTATAGCAATACTGTTTACTACATCTTTTGACAAAGCTTCTCCAAAATAGCTGTTATGTGGGCTTTAAAACATCTTCAACGGGCTCATTCAAACCATTATCGTTATAAAAACAGTTCATTAAGTTCAGAGTGGAACATTTAAAAATGAAATTCCTTGCTTAATCAATAACCTATTAGGGTGGGGGGAAAAGAAAAATTAAACTATTGGGAGCTACTAATGTGAAATACTGAGACATGCCCCATCCCCCAAACAAAACAAGGGTTGAGGGCTGCAGCAGCTCCAGAAAGACCTCTCACTTTGTTTTCTCTTTCTCTAATAAAATTAAGTAACATTACACAGACTTAAACTAATTTGGCGGTGTAATGGCGAGGTTGTTCACTTTCATGCTTGTTGTAATATTTTCCAAACCTTCCAGATGTTTGTAACTTGGCCTTGAATCTCTGATATGGAAGATTTGACTGATTTCTGTATGAAGTTTGGTGGGATTCCAACTGATTTGCTACGGCGATTATAAAGTATTCAGCTATTTTTACAACAATTTGCGGACTTTTGCAGAACAATCATATTTTTTCGGTATACTTAGTAAACCTAGCTCAATTACAATATCACTTAAATATTTCGGCTAATAAATAGTGACTGAACATGGCAACTTTGCTGCCCCAATGTGAAAGACTTGCGAAGTTAGTTGTTTAACTCTATAATATGGTTATAAGTTCAACATTAACTTTAGTTAGCTCAACCTGTACCGGTGCAAAACAAGCTGGTTGGCCGCTTTTTTTTAAAACCAAAAAGTTAAAAAAAGTAGCATCTTACCGGCGGGGAAGAGTGCGAGAAACACGGCGAGGACTCTGCACACGTCAAGCGCCGAGGGTCTTCCTCTTTTCCCCATAACCATCCATCCAGCTCGGGGTCGCACTTCACTCCTCTCCCTGGTCAAACCGGATTAAGGAAGGACAGAGGAGAAGAGTTAGAGCCACCGAGTTCTCGTTGAGAAAACATGTAAACAAAAATAAGTCCATAAAGAGGTCTGAAGTCGGTCCCGTCTCCTCATCACTCTGTGGTAAGAAGTTGTAGTTTCTTTTATCGCTCCCTCCGGTACGTTAACTCAACAACTACAACCGAGTTGGCCAGCGGGACGAACGGCAGAAAGCAGCCAGGCAATCTCTCTTCCTTTTAGGGAGTGTCGAGAAGGTGCAGCCTCTGAAGGCCAGTGGACACACTGAACCAATCACGACCGCCTGTTCTGCCCTTAAACCCCCCTCCTCTCTTAACGTTTCAGATTACATCTGAATGTGCAGACTTGTTCGACGAAGAACCGAAGTCTTCACGACCCGCAAAGTTAGTGAGTAAGTAACGTTGGTCCACAACAACGCCATATATGAGACAGGTTCACTTGGGTTACAGCAATAACCCCACTGTGTCATACATCCACAGAGCATGTGTGCACAGATTAATACAGGGGGAAAGTGGAAAAACAGCATCAGAGAGCTGTAAATGATCTGCTTTCCCGCTTTATATCACCATTTTATTCTAGGTTTAAACCTACTGTGTCATAATACATCACCTAAAATGGTGGCTACAAGCCAAGTTAAGCTCTTCAACCCATACATAGCCTATATTGTATATCTATGCTTCACCCCCCCCCCACTGACAGGTCAATTAGTACCAATTACACAGCCAAACATTCAAATCCACATAACTGTCTTTTACTCTAATGATGATCCCAAAGTTTCTAAAGATACCACATTTGTCAGACTGAATGATGGAGACGTGTACAAAATGCTGTACAAGACATCAGTAATATTCACATTTGATCAAAAAGGTGATATATGCGGATATATGCGGATATAAAAACATATAAAAATAAAAAAAATTAATAATATATATACATGCCCTAAAATGGATCTTCAACCCCTAGAAAGCCTATATTATATCTGTGCTTCAACCCCACAGAACCATTGATTAGTACAAACTACATGTGAGAGCCAAACATTCAAAGGAAGGGCTGTGTATTGGCAAAAATCTGGTGCCACAATACGAATCACAATACAGAGGTTACGATTCAATATATTGCGATATATTGTGATACTGTAAGCAAGGCGATATATTGTGATTTAAAAAATAAATGAATCTAATTTTAGGAAAACTTTCATTGCAATTTCCCAGCTTGGGATCAATAAAGTATATCTATCTAAGTATATCTATCTATCTATTTATCTATCTATCTATCTATCTATCTATTGTATAAAGAACACACCACCATATGCATAAAATCTGAGTAAAGAATATTTTACTCTTTTATGCAACCAGAACAGTGGGAACTGCATTTGTATTTATCACAGTCCATGTAACATCCAACATCATAGCCCTCAGTTTACAACACTGCTATCTATCAGTTGGAGATTTAAATTAAAAAAGTATAGTGTTTGTGAGAATTGATACAATATCACAAAACAAAATATGTTTTTACACGCCAATTCAAATCCACATAACTTTCTTTTATTCTAACGATGGTCCCAAAGTTTATAAAGAATAGTAGATAAAGAATTTGTCAGACTGAATGATGGAGAAATGATGTACAAAATGATGCACCATCACTAATATTCACATCTTGTTTGAGTCTGGCGTTTGAATATTTCACGTAGTCTAAACATCATTAAATTGGAACAAGCTGTTACATACTAGATATCAGTAAAGTTGAAAATTACAAATATTTATGGATTAATGTGCTCATTATTTTCTTGATTACTTATCTATAACAATGTCACAAAATAGTGAAAATTCCACAACACAGTTGATCAAAGCCAATGCTGACATATTCAAAGTGGTTGTTTTAGTCCACAAACAGTCCAAAACCCAAAGATATTTAAGTTTCTATCATACATAACAAAGACAGGGAACGAATCCTCATGTTTGACAAGGTGGAACCAGGGAACATTCGGCACTTTTGCTCAAAAAATGCCTTAAACTAACTATGAATATAGTTGCCAATACATTTTCTGTTGACTGACAAATTGATTGATCACCTAACAGTTTAAGCTCTTTGTATGATACTGTTGGACATGTCAGAGTGATATATTACAAAAAAAGGGGAGTGGGGGGCTGGATTTGAAAGGGTTACAAGACAATTTAACCTCCAAAACAACCTGTCAAATCACAGTGAATTTCACAGGGCGGGAGCAAAGAAAGCTCATTTAGAATCAGCATTTAAAAATCCACTTTGTGTAATATGCCTGTAATTATATGATTTTAAACCCATGCTCGGGTTGTGAACTGACCAAAATTCCCAGAAGAAATACTGAGAACATGAGCTGTGTGTTCTCAATGACACCTGCAGCGCTGGGCGGAAATATTGATCAGCATGAGCTCATTAAACATGATGCCTTGCTGTAGTTTAAATCACCCCAGAGTACACAGTAGTCAAAACCGTACACGCTCAACACATCGAGGATGAGAAAGGGACCACAAGGAATGCTTTTACTTTTGATTCAAAAGTACATTTTCCGGATAATACTTGTTTACTTAAGTAAAACTAAGAATGCATGTTGGTTTTGAAGGAATGAATACGTTTCCACTACCGATCAGAAGAGTAAAAGACATAATACCACCTCCTTTGATATCTTTCAGTTGTACTAATGACATATTACGGATGTCTTTTGGTGCCATTTAAACCAAAATGCAACCAGGCAGACAGCTGCGTACTCAGGTTGTGGCTGGCTCTACAGTATTTTTCCATAGCGTGGTGCAGGTCTTTGTGATCGCTGTCCCTCTCGTGGATGATGGATACGTTCATGTACAATGAGGTCTGAGCCTACACATGTTTTCAACAAGGGTGGCCCTGTGCAGTCCAATTTCCAGCTCTAATATACCAGCCATTCACATCTGAAATGAATGACTGCAGCTGAAAGGTATAAGCCACTCAGTGATACGTTATGATGAACTGTGGAACATTTTGGGGGCTTTTTTTTAGCAGCGACACCATGGATGCCGAAGCAAAAATGTTCCTCTAGCACTGCGAGGGCTTTGATGTAGATATATTTAAGTGTGACTGATGTTTTTAGAGCTGAGAATTGTGGTTTCCCTATATCAAATCTGAATAATAGATGGTGCAGATTGTACGTTTGATATATTCACCTGTTGCAGCGACTTTGCAGACTATTATTTACTATCAAGGTGTTCAATATGTTTTGACACGGTCTGCCCTTGCTCATTTAATTATAGTCAGTTAATTAGCCGTCATTACTGTCTTGATTGGCTAAGAAATCTTTAGCTGATTACTCGTTCTTGAATGAACAATGAGTCATTTGTCATTGAAAGATACATGCATTTCTGACATCACAGTATCACAAGCTTTGGTCGTTAATAACACATATTTAGAGCTACTTGTCTTCAATGTGACAGCGATACTGGAGAAATGAATTATTTTACACATTTTTCATATCAATATGTAATAACTCATATCCATTTCTTTAGTCAGACCAGCCCTCATTCCTTATCCTGAATCAGAAATATCTAATTATGCCAAATAGTGTTAAATGATTAGTCAATTAATAGATTAGTTAATTAACAGAAAATTATTTTAAACATTTTTGTAATCAGTGAAATCATTCATTAAACAAAATGACCAGACATTCTCTGGTGCAGCATTCTTAGTTTTATATGAGTGCAATGAATGCTGTCGGGTTTGGGGCTGTGTGTTGGACAAAAGAAGACAATTTAAAGACATCACCTTGAGCTCTGAGAATTATTTTGTACTATTTTCTTACATTTTATAAACTTACCGATTAATTGATTTTCAAAAGAATCATTAGCAGCAGCCCAAATTCTATTCATAGGGCAAATGTTATCAGTTTGACTCCACCACCAATCAAAATTAGGTTAGGACCTCTTCTCTTCAGTCGCCTTTTCTCATCAAGCGCTTGTTATCAGCTATATTTAGTCCCTTGGATGCTAGTTCTAGGAATGAATCAAGAGACTGTTTAATTGCTTTTAGGTTTAACATCTCCATGCAGTGAAATGACAAACCATCTATAAATTAGGAAATATCCCCACAGAGAAGAGACAGTTCATGTGCTCCACATGCTGTAACAGATAAAGGTGACATAATTTAACAATAAAACAGCTCAATAAACCCAGTAGGTATATTCCATTCACGTTTTATGGCGTGCTGCATTAAACCTCTGATCCCACCTGTTTCAACCCGTCATAAAAGACTTAACACAGACACAGTTCTGACATTTTCACATCCTAAATCTGGTGAAATGTAAGTACATATGGTCCATTTTGTGCAGTGTCACATTGTGTGCACTAGCCTACATTTTTGTGTGTGTGCATCTTGTCCGCGCACTGATCCTGTTTTCCAACAGATGGCGCTTCTTATGAGCTCTGATATGAAACCTCCAATCATGACACAAACGCACATGGCAATACGAGGACAACCAAACCTGTCATTAAATCTGAGCTTTATAGACAGCTCGGTTATTGCTGTAATTACAGCTGTCATGCAATTAGGATTTTTTTTTTTTTTTTTTTAAAGGTGAAAATCTGCAGCCAGCAGGCGCATGTGTCCTGTTGCACTGCTCTGGAGATCATCCTTTATCCCGTGTCAGATATAACTAGCCTCAAAGGTGTTGCTGCTGTGATAAATGCTGACAAGATGATACATTAAATAGCGCTGCACCATTTTACTGTCTGTTCTTCTATATTTAAAAGTCAAGTGAGTAGTTTTTTTTTTTTTTATCAATGCATTTGCAAATGGATCAAGTTCTTAATATTGCAGAAATCCAGCTCCCCTCACTGTACAGATGGCTGAAAAGCAGACACATCTTAACGCACAGAGATATAGTTTGAAAACCCAGCATGCAACGCAAAACCCGAGACTCCTGTGTGAAATGAACTCAGATTCTCGATGGTTAAAATTCACAATAAGTCTCCAACTATAACAGCCGAACCGACCTTGGCGACTGCATGAGCTCTCCGCGACTCTGGAGTCCTGCAGGAACCCGGAGGACAGGCGAACAGGAGCAAGAGGAAGCAGACTCCTAAAAAAAAAAAAAAAAATTCTCTCCCCCTTCAAAGAACTCGTCCTGTGTTGTCACAGTAATCCGAAATCAAACGCACTCAGCGGCTTTCTGAGTGTAAAACCCGCCGATCTGTACATGATGTCCACCGATCTGCTTCACAGTGAAATCAAAGTGCTTTTCCCCCCCCTCTTTAGAGTTGGGATTCATTTAAACAGCCACTTCTCGCACCCGGAGGAGGTGAGGAGGAGAGGGGGGAGGAGGGGAGTCAGATCTCCTCGGCCATTGCCTAACTCATTTGACTATCAAGTCGATCGGAAAAGGAGACATTATGATAGATTTAAGTCCAGTAATTGCCCTCATCCGCGCGGTGAATCCAAATTGTTAGTTATGGTCGACGTCGGGGGGGAGGAAGGGGAGAAAAAAAAGCCCTGAGGGTGAAGCTACTGCTGCTGCTGCGTACGGACCGAGCCGCTGTCTGGATGTTGTGAAATGGCTAGTTAGAAAGTGTGAGAGAGACAATGATCGGCTCTGCATGACGCCGCTGGGAGCCCCACATCTCAGCTGTGAACCCCCTCTTTTTTTCTTTTTTTTTTCTTCCCAACTTCTCTCGACGCTCTGGGAGACACGACGTCCTCGGATGGGGACTCAGCTGCATTGGGGGGAAAAAACAAGTCAAAAAAATGACTTGTGCAGTGTTATTTTTCTGTTAAAGCATGTAAAAACTAAACCCATGCATTGTCATTTGTCATTCTCTTAATAGGGTAGTGAGTGCCCTATTTCCTGTCTTATTTCAGAACAGGCTGCCCTGTTTGGATGCAAGTTTGTGCACCATTGACAACAGAAATAAGAGTTAAAAGCTGAATTACTCCACGCACACATTGCATTATTAATTTGTGACACTGATTTCCAACAAGCAGACCTATTGTCAGATCTTCCCCGTCGACAGATAACCTTTAGCAGTGCCTCATCTATGCAAATCACCAGGTTGGAAAAAAAGACAAATCCATAATAATCAGGATTTAATGGAGGATCAGATGGACAAACACTTTGCAGCCCCAGAGAAAGGGGGTGGGTGGTGTGTGCTCAGAGGCAGAGAGAGCTGCATGGAGGTTGCACCTGTGTTTTAGGATCAGACTGCATGCAGGAAAATACCACCACTACCCCCTCAAACCCCCACACCCCCCTCCCTCCTTTCCTCTTCAGCTTTTTCAGCCTCCACTCCTTCCAACATAACTGGTTCTCTCTGCTCCAGTTTCCTCTGATCAGGAAAATTCACCACACCGGAGAGGGCAGAGACTTACAATGTCTGACCAGTTCAGTGTTCTGACTGTGTGCCAGGCTGATAACTGACGTGCACAATCCGGGGAGAAATGCAGAGCTCAGATTTAAAAACCCTTTCGTAAGGAGCCTGTGATTTTCGCCTTCTATTAACGCTGATGTAGGAGATGTTTCTTTGCATGCAGTTTACGGACCGGAGCTGTCACATTACATCATCCCGTTGTGCATCCAGCAAGACACTGACCCCTGTAATCCACTCGTTTACTATCACAGCCCAGACCTGCCCTCTCCAGATGGCCACTGAGAGGCAGCATATTTTACATTGATGTAACATAAGAACATGAAAGAGTGACACCCCAGTGTGAAAAGAATGGTTTTAGAGGTGCCGGATGCCGGCCCCATTTCAAACACAGCTGGTGTACACGCTGCCTTGCTGAGATATTATGGCGAGTTAACGACAACAGATCTGCTTTATATATCACTGGATTAATAAGATACTTTGATTTCTCTTTTTCTGCTTCATTTTACAGAACAAATCAGTGACAGTCAGCCATTCAACTATTATAGGCCCAAATGAAAGAAGCATTCAGTAATGCCTATCCTCAAGGTTCTATGTGATTTACCTTTATCAGCCTGTGATTTAGTTCATTATACAAATCTGTTAAGATCAGGCTGCCTCAGCAAATAAAACAGAGGCTATATCGAGATAGAAACTGATGAAAAATCTGCCAGAGAGCAGAAGATTCCCATGAGAACAATGTAAAAAAGATCACAAGCTACTTTATCCTGGCAGTAACGTTTGTTTTTCAAACCTTGTGATATGGAAAGCATATATATCCTGAAAAGACTGACTGATTGAGTTACTGAGACTTTCCTGACACACAGTTCTGCGCAATTAATTGTATACTACATACTGTAAGTTTTTAAGTTTAACAAATGCAAAGGAGTCATTCAAATCGTGATCCACTTTCTGGTTATTTCTTCAGATCATCACATGCTGTACTTCCTCACTGTAGGATCAAAAGTTCATCGTTGTCTTCTGGTTAAAGGTCATGATTTCAGATGCTGACCATGAGTTTATTGTAAATCCAGCTTTCTATTGACAGAGTCAGTTATACCTGTTTGCTTTTATTCTCAATCAAAGCTTTATACTTTGATCAAGGAGAAATAATGGGACTTGAGGTGTTTTTCTTTTCTCTGGACACATACATTCAAAATGAAACGACTCTCAACAACTGACCACAAGGGTGTGGATGATATTATGAAAGACATGCGGGAAACTATTCAGCAGTTGCAGTATTTCTGAGTCAGACATGGATTAGTAAGCATAGTATGCTCTTACTGACCTTCCAGTTGCCTCTTGAACTCATGCAGCATAACAATTAGCTCGTCACATTGCCTTGTTCCTCTTTTTTTCTGAAGTGTCACGCTGCTTTGTGTTTCGGGTGCCTCAGAAAGATTTGACACAGATCTTCCTGTAATCATTGTGTTGCCTGAAATAAATATGGACGCTATTTAAAAATGTTATCCCATGTCATTTGAAAATGATAAAAAAAATCATAAACCTAAAAAGATAAGTGTGTGGAGTTGTTGTTTTTCTTTGCCTTATGTGATAAAAACATGAATATTTTTTAGGTTTGGGACTTTTGGTTGCACAAAACTTTTTTTTTTTGTGCAACCAAAAGGCATCCCTACCCTGCAATAATAACAGGTGACTACATTTGAAGTGTAAGAAACCGTGATCAAAATTAGTTTTTTTCAAAATTACGGCCTACAAGAAGAAGATTTTTAAGAAGCCTAATTGTGTTAAATGAGAGATGTGATATCTGATTTTATCTTATAAACTGATTACTTTTCTTCGCAATGCTGCCAGAATAATAAGGACAACCCTTTTTTAAATCAAAAAATACATGCAGTACATGGCAGTATACAATGTATTCTCTGCATATAAGCTTACAGAATTGTGCCGTAATGTAGCTTTGAGTACGATTTATCAGAGAAACTACCATGTTGACTTAAAACGGGATTGCTAACAACTGTAGCCAAAGCTAATGTCTATCTTCTCCTTGAAATAGCCTTTTATTGTATTCTCCAGACATCATAAGACCTGAGCTTAGTGTGAAATGATATCCATTTATGTATAAGTCACACATATACTCTATGTATATCCCTGTGACTATTGTACTGCTGTCATGGTGTTTTGAACCAAAAGACATCTTATAGACAGTGTTTAGTGTTAGAAATGGCCATTACTGCTAAAGGTTTCTCTTTAAATAAGAAAAATGTTGCACCTTTAACCAGCGACAGTCCCTTGGTATTCAGTGATTCACACAAATAGACTAAGACGTATGTTGCATGTACACGATTGGCATTTAAAAAGAGGGGCTAGTTCATCCAGCAGCACCGTTTTTGATAATAAGGTGTGAGCATGAATTCCAAAAATTCTATTAAGAGGTGATATGTGGGACTCAGACACTGTGTGGAATTACTGCCACAGTCAGTAACAATACGAATGCAGGAAGCTTGCAAATTGGCCTGTTCATGCACACAGAGGAATGGGCTTGAATGTGCAAACCCTCATTACAGAATCTCCTTTCTCGTTTTAAGCAGAGGTGAGTTTAGTCGCTTTTCACCCCTATTTTTCTTTCTTTCTAAAGCCAGGCGGCAATCCAGCGAGAATTATGCACACTGTTTAATTCCAGACATGGACAGAACTAGACAGCGTGTGTACAGACTGCAAGACAAATAATTAGCTCCGCTGCTATACAGAACTGATCTCTATGAAAGACGCAACACATCAAGCCAAATTTTAGGGAGGCACATTAGTGAATGAATAACTGTTTTAGACCATGAATGATCATCACAATTTTGCACCTGACGGGGTTTAAAAAAAACACATTGGTGAGCAGCCATGACTCCATTAGCATGCAAGATGCCATAAATGCACGCAAGAAGACTGCGGCTTATCTCAATAAAACAGCTGCCTTTTTAATTTCCTGCCTCTGAAAATCTGTGAAAAAGGTGAAGGACTATCTCAATATTCAGTTTATGAATATAAAATTAGATAAGGGTTTTCTCCACAGTGTAAAATGCCTTTCCAGGTTTTTAATTTATAGTAATTCACAAGTAATCAGTCTCTAAAATAATGAGAAATTTTGGCATTATGCCTTTATTTAAACAATCATTGCATTTTTTTTGTTTTCCATTTTATACAGACAATGGAAATGGGTGCCTAAGTATACCTAAAATTACATTCATTCATTCTGAAATTGTGTGAATCACATTTATCCTTCAGACTACATGGATTAATACGATAATGTTTAAGCTAACAATTAAACCTGTTATATTCTTTATTGTCACCTCTGTAATAGCAACCCTCTGTTTAGCACTGTATGCTTGCAGCTGAAATATTACAAGAAATACAAGATATCTGTCTGTGTCTTTGAATATCTTCCTTTAAGAACCCGTATTTTCCCTCCATACAAACTCTGGTTATCCATCCTTGACCTGTGTAAATGCAGAGTGATGGTAAAACTCACAGGAATACAAGCACAGACTTTTATCAAGGTGAATGCTTCCAGTGTCTGGGTGTCAGGAAATAAGCGACCAGTCTAAATTCTTCACAGCTCTTTTATGTCTTGGCTTCTTCTGCCTGGTTGTTGAACTTT